CTTTGTGGTAGCGCATCATGATTCTAGAAGACTAAGATTCATACTCTCACTCATGTCCCAAACACCTTCTCTCACAAACTCTCATGTATCACTCCAACTCACACGCAAACTCTCCTCACATCACCCTCTTCACATAAACGCAAACACACGTCGATACTCCAAGATACTCAAAAACTTCACTCCTTCATTACTGAAACAAGTACTCAACATGACTCTCCAAACTTGCTTGAGAGGTGCTACTCTACCTCTCTATTTATACTACTTGAGAAGTTACCATAGTAACATGTGGTAATTTCTCCTAACTTACTTTTACCTAGGTAAGTTTGACTAACCTTCTCTACGTGGCAACATGCCATTGGCCTACCTAAACCTTCTAGAAGCTTCTGGAATCCAAGGTTGAGGTGGCGACATGCCATTTGAAGCTTTTAAACTTCTACAAGCTTCCTAGCCACTAAGTCAACATTAGACTTAGTCTAGCCAATCATCTTTCATACATTTAGTCAAACCAATCAAATCCAAGCTTCTAGTCAAATATCTAATCCCTTGGAATCTAGAACTTTTGTATAAGACAAAATAGAAGTGCTCACTCCTTGTAAAGGACAAAATAGAAGTGCTCACTCCATTCTTCTAGAACTCCGCTAATTATTCCGCCAACTATAGACATTGTAGCTAAACTTAGTCATGACTAGATAAACTTAGTTATAACTAACTAGTTTAGTCATAACTAGCTAGTCTTAGCTATGCCTTGGCTAATCATCCTTATTCCCTTGACCACTTCTAAGACTTAGTACATATGTGCAACACCCGGTCTTACAGGCCCGTGCGCAGGCGCAATTGCCGGCGCCTTGTCCGCCGCAGGCGTAGCGCCGCGGACATCCATCGCCGAAGGCGACATGGCCGGGGGCCGCTCGCCCGATGTCCCTTGACCTATAGGCCCTACCGCCGAAGGCGCATCTATCGGCGGACTTCCCGCCGATGGTGCGGCCTCCGCACGCTCCCTGCTCGTATCTCCTCGGCTCGAAGGCCCTGGCGCCGAAGGCGCAAATTGCGGCGCGTGGTGCGCCGGAGGGTCTGGCCCCGAGGGCCGGTGTCTCGTAGGCGGTTCTTCCGCCGGCTCCTTCCCCTTCCTACGTTGGAACGGGGGTGATTCTTGCCTGTGCACAGGCGGCACGTGTGGAGGTGTCCTGTGCACAGGCGACCTGTGCACAGGTGAGCGCCTGTGCACAGGCGGACTGCTCCTTCCCACGCGTAAGCGTAGATCCACGTCCACTTGTGATCGCCTGTCCGCGGAGGCTCGTCCGTCCGCGGAGGCTCGTCTGTGCGCAAACGGAACATCTGTCCGCATCGCACGTGGTAACTCCGGAGGCCCTTGGCCCGTAGGCGGCCTCTCTCCCGTCGAGGTTGCAGCGTGGCCCGTTGCTCCTGCGGTCGTCCGCGCTTCCTCATGCTTCTCTGGCGACGCACTTCCTTCCTCCGTCGCAATCGTCGCCGTGTCCGCACTGTCGGCTGGTAACACCAGTCTGCGTGCCTTCTGCTTCGGCCGGCTGTATGACTCGCACAGCGGCCGCGGTCGAATGGGAGCAGAGGGTTCTTGTTGCTGCTCCTCTTCAGACTCTTCCCTCCATCGCCGCTTCCGCGGCACTCGTGCTGCAGGAGTGTGTCTCCCTTCGTCCCTCCGCCTTGATGGGTAGAAGTCGGTGACTCCTCTGCATCAGTGTCGACCTCATTCTCCCGCACATACTTCCCGGGATGGTCGATGGACAATGGCGGAAAATGTTCAAGCTCCGCCGCTGTCAAACAATTCCGCTGTCGATAAAAATTGATGAGGAAAGGAGAAAGATGGTTTAGAGTTCCCCCCTTCTCCTCAAACGCGTGCTGTCGCATCACCCTGTGCAGGATGCTCGCCCAGTGAATTGGAGTTCCCTCGATGACGCACTCCACAAAAGAGACCTGCCACAATGTGATGTAGCAGGCGCGGTGCAGCTGCAGTAATTAATTCAGCGCCGCGGACAAAGTCCGGCGAAATCGATCCTTGTAATCACGGGTCCTGTACCCATTCTTGGTAGACCTCCCGGTCTTGAACAGCTCCACAAATTGCGCCTCTTCCTGCTTGGTCACCTTGATGCTCTCACTGTCGAAAAGGAGATGCCCTGGCATGCCAGCACATCTTCCCAACGCCTGCGCCCAATCTTGGACTGTCCACCGATCAACATGCGGACGCAATCCGCGCGAGGGTGGTCCCTGTGGCTCTAGCCACTCGCGCACCATATTCGCACAGATGTAGTTCCATCCCCATAGCAAGAAATCGAGCTTTCTTGCTATTAAGCGCTCCTCGAAAGCGCGCAGCCCGTTCTGTGGTAGGCGAAGTGGCACCATCCGCAATCTGCTCGGTCTCGTCATTGCGTTCCTGGGGTTCGCTCGCCCGCTCATTCTACTTCCGCACCGCCCGAGCTTCTTTCTCTCTCGGCAAACTCTAATCGCCCTCAATTCCAAATCACGCGCATTCACTTCTCCCTCAATCAACAAGAAATCTCCTGTGCGACGACGTCGAGAATGTTTAGCAGCCAGCAGATGGATGCGCGCAGCGCGCACAAGAGATTGGAATCGCGAATTCAAGAATGGGACGTTCTCCGCCGCCCGGTCGAAGGTCATGGTCGGCTCTTGCTCGTGAAGAACGTCTCACTTGATGGCCGCGCCGGCTGTACGCTGGAACGGTCTTCGCTCTCACGCGCGGCTTCACGCTCCGCCGTCGTCGATTAAACTCTCACGCTCGAATTGGCGGATTTGAACTCCGCGAGCGTATTACCCCGCGGACATGGGGGCGTAGCGCCGAAGGCGAGTTTTCCGCCTTGCGCAGTACACTTGTTCGTACCGCCCCTCGGCCAATCCCCCTCTGCCTTGACGCGTGTGTCCGCATGTCGGACAAAAGTTCAACTCCTGCCTGTGCGCAGGCAGGAGCCTCGGCGGATGCTCCGCCGGCACGGAACTTCATCCTCCTGTGCACAGGCGGTCGCCTGTGCGCAGGCGAATTCCGTGCGCGGCGTCGCGCTGGCGCGGAAGGCGTTGACCGTGGTCAGCCGTCTCCGTCCAGTCTGTCCGTTCCTTGTCTCTTCGTCGGCGCTTCCGCCGCCGCAACTCCGTCCGTCCAAGAGCGCATCCATCCGTCCCGTCCGCATGGTCCGTACCGATTTGATTACTCTGGCGGCTCTTCCGCCGTACGCGGCGCTGCGCTGGCGCGGAAGGCGCCGTACACTTTCTACCTCACAAGGCGCATTTCTAGGGCCCAAGGCGGATTTTCCGCCGACGCCGAAGCGCCTGTGCACAGGCGAGCGCCTGTGCGTAGGCGGACTTCGCGCCTCCCCTAACCCTACTTCGCCTGTGCACAGGCGAACGCCTTCGTCCGCGCATAGGACAAAACTTGATTCCCCCTTCCGCGTAGGCGGAATTCGCGCCGAAGGCGAACTCTTTCCGCCGTAGGCGACCGCCTCCGTTTCTTCCAATAGTGATAACTCCCTAAGTCCTCATCCGTTCCAAGCGTTCTTGGGCTCGTTGGAATCAGTGCGTCAAGCTCTTTCCAACGGGACCCTAACTTGGTCAAGGCGCCCGAGGGTTGACCTAATTATGGAGGGTTTCCCTACAGCCGCGGACGCAACCTCCGAAGGCGGGTTTTGCGCCTTGCGTCGTAGGGGTCCTAACTGCAGAGCTCGCAGGGAGGGTGGTGCCTGTCCTTACTGCTGAACCCCAAATCCCAGATTCTACAAGATCCCTCGAGAATCCCCGCGATCTTCCGGATTCACTCCGTTTTGATGTACCGAAGGCTATTTACAATGCTGCCAGGGTACAGTTTTCCAAAAATGTTTTAATTTCCTCAAAATTGCCAAAAGTGGGGTACCACAGTTGAGTAATTATCATTTGCAACAAAAATAAGGAAAATATTAGCACAACAGTTTGTTTTGAGCGATAAGTATTGATCGCTCAACTGGTGATCAATACCTAATCAATAAATCAGTAAAGCTAAGCTGTTCTGCTCTTTAGTGAAGGAAATCATGGCCAAAATAATAAAAAATAGAAAAACTTAAATAATCTATGACTACACAATACTATTAAAGGATTTCAATGTCAACTACAATCGCCAAGAGTGATTTCCTGTTGTAAACAACTGTGGGAATAGAAACATGTGAACACGAAAAGTTAAAGTGATTCCTTGTGAGACAGCTGTTTCTTTGTTCTAAGAGTTGATCAAAAGTCAAATGACACGAGGCAATAATATAGGCATGATTTATTTACCAATATTTCTTATGAACCGATATGTTATACTCATATCATTCTATCATATTCTATGATTTTTATGGTGTGGTGTTGAGTATATGATATTCAAGTCAAATCAATCATCAAATATCAAACCTGGATTTTTATTTACGTCAAATAATATAAAATCAATCATCAAATCTGCATTTTTCTCAACTGAGACAAGAACTGCGGACATACAAACTAGGTGATGATTTGTCATGACGGCAAGACCAATTACATGTGTGTTACCATCTTGTAGTGACCTGAGTACATGTTGACGTTTCGGATTCCAGTGGGGGCCATGTTGCTACTTGGTGAGGGAGGCGATGCATTGTGTGACATGAGTGTTATGTCGAGCTTGGTTTTAGTTTTCTAAGATTTTGGCTTCATATTCAGGTGTAGCTAAGTTGATAGCTTGCATTGTGTTCCCACACCATTGCTGTGGGACATATACTATATTTGAGGGGCCACTAAGATTCCCGACAATATTTATGTGGACTTTTTACCATAGAGTTGGATAACGTGATCCAAGTGTTGGAATCAAGGTGTGATCTACGACGATGTGCACCTCCAACTTTTTCAGCTTGATTTACAAATAAAACAATTTGAGTCTAGGGGTCGGATTTAATATCATTGATCTCGGAGATGAGCAGTGCAGCAGCTAGCTACTCTACCCGGACGTTTGATTAAGTCACGGGACACGGTAGATTAAGTCACGGGACACGGTAGATAGCTGTTTATTGCTTGATAGATCTTGTCAATTGCTAGTGCTTCCCTTGCTGGCCTCTTTGTACAATCTGACCTATTGTATGAGTAAAAGCTACCTTTTGTTCTGCACCTTGTCTCCGGAAGTATCAATTCATGTAAGAAGGCTGTTTAGATGAGAGCAGATTTGCTTGCCGCCACAGACAACTTATATGCGTTTATCAATGGATCCCCAGGTTGCAACATATGACTTCCATCTACCGCCAAGTCTTCGCCACTCACGTAAGCAGAATCGTCGCTGGCTAGAAACAGAGCTGCGTTCGCTATACTGTCAGGCCCTGCAATTTTGTGCGAGACACTAGTCTTCATCTTCGGGAAAAATGACGAGGCCTGCATTTGCTCGAGAAAAAATTTAGGGACATCCTTCATAATCGGTGTACAGATCGCACCAGGAGAAATGGTGTTCGCTCTGATATTGAAGTCCCTGAGCTCCCAAGCTGCATAGCGAGTCAGTCCCAGCAATGCGTGCTTCAAAGTCGTATAAGCCATACTAGGGCCTGCGATGTGCGCAGCCACGCTCGCTGTGGTAATGATGCTGCCCGTTTGCATCGGTTTCATCACTCTGGCGGCGTGTTTCACTCCCATGACTGCCCCTTTCAAGAGAACGCCGTAGCTACGATCGAATTCCACCATGGATGTTTCCTCAAGCGGGCAGCCAGGCACAAGCACACCAGCATTGTTAAACATAACGTGGAGTCCTCCATACGCACTGACGCTGAGATCCACAGCCGCTGCAACATCTTCCTCTTGGCTCACATCGCAATGGATGAAGCGGGCTGTGTCAGGTCCGCCGAGCTCGCGTGCCAACTTCTCTCCAGCAGCGTCCTGAATGTCGGCAATGATCACTTTTGCACCATGTGCCACAAACGTCTTCGCCGTCTCTTCCCCAATTCCGCTCGCACCTCCCGTGATCAAAGCCACTTTCCCCTGTAATCTGCACAGCTCAATTTCGTTCTATTACAGACTTTGCAGAACAGAAAGGACCATGCCCATCTATCAAAACAGAAAATTAAGCCTGATGCATGCGAGTGGTGCTTATGCTGTTGCGGAGGTGGCTTCAAAACACTTCGTCTGCCTTGACATTGTCCAGTAGATTTCTCATGTTTACAACATTTACCCTTTCCTTTGGGGGATCGCAGGTGAACAAAATGAAATAGCGAGAGTTTACTTCCAGCGGCACGCAACCACAGTCCAAACACCAGAATATACAGAAGGGGAGGACTTGGGGTACCGAGATTAACAAGTCGTATACGACAGGATGAGTATCGATCGATGTATAATGCAAAAGTAAGACTTACATGGCATGATTCTGTCTTCCCTGCCGAGGGATTTCTACTAATTTCTTTCCAGCATTCTGGTTTCTAAGCATGTCTGAAGGTAAGTAGTTGCATCTATCGTAACATTCTCTCCATCAACACATGCATGCACCTTATTTAGTCCATCATCTATCTTCTGGGACGAGAAACAACCTGAGGGCAATAGGAACGGGCCTCGCGATGGTAGCCATTTGTCCAAAATGACGGGCAGAAATAAGCCGACAATCTGGTCCACAGTTTCATGGCGGAAATCAGAGTCCAAGTTGAACCTATTCAGTGAGAATACCTGATCTGCCAACATGTGTCCTGACGAAAGCTAGTTTCTAGGCATAAATTGCGGGAATCTGACCCAGTCGTTGATCACAGAAAATTTCTCTACAACCTCTAACCTTTAAAAACATTACTTATAGTATGACCACTTCTTAAATGGATTCTATCGAGAATTCTATGCAGTGAAAGCATACAGGGTTCTTCCGCGTCAGCAAAATGAGACTTACGTAACAACCAGTGAAAGTTCCTTGTGTGATCTCCACGGAATTTCGTTTCGCGCGGAAGAGTTTTCGTGTCGTCCTCCTTACTAAGATTTGCGTCAATCCTGCCGATTCACGTCCAAGATATTGACAGTGGAGCTCATGCTGCAGAGGATCACCTTCGCCTCTTCTATAGAAGCAGTCAGTCAATCCCGCATACTCATCAATCGTCCATCCAATCCAACGAACATATCTCTCCTTCACACTAGGCGTTAAGTGTACTAAATACAGTATTCATTGTTCAGCCTTTCTGCAATTCTCTAATGTGCTGAAGAGTCTTTAGCTGTCCTACGTGTCTGTTAGCATGCGCTTACTTTTCGTACGAACGTACTTCTCCGATTCATACTCTATTCTATTGTGATTCCTACATGCTCTATGTTTTTTTATTCCTTCATATCTGGGCTTGTTTAGGTTTCTAAGGTATTTATTTTAATCCAGAGCCTCATGCTTGTGCTTTAACAACTCAACCGACCATCTGAAAGTTCAGCTCCAAAAAAATTTCCTGATTTGTGTGATATTTTCTTGGAGAATGGTGTCACGTTTAATACTTCCATATCACAAGAACCACAAAATTATAGTGATTATTTTGACAACTTCATATTATTCAGCGTCTTCTCCAAATGTCTTATATTAGACTAAGGTGGATGTCCCCGTATCCTATGTCACAGTTTCACTGGATGCTGATGTGTAATATACCTATGTCTTAATTTTCAAGGTTTCATTCGTGTAGATCCACAAGCTGCCATTAAGAACTATATAGCATAATATCTCACGTTCTTCTCTATAATATAGAATAATCTTTTCCAAAGTGCATATCGAAATAGGTTTGACTAAGCTTGCTCACAAACATCAGGATTCGAACAAGGTCTAAACAGATCTAGTAGTTCGCAGCACCATATTTTGTTGTCTTTCCTTGTTCAATTCCCTAACACAGTGCAAAGAAATTGTTCCTACCCCATGAGTTAATTCTGAACACCATTTTCACTCTCCAAATACCTCAACATCTCCTTCATGTTACTATCTTGATCATTCTCATAGCTGATAGTATATCTGCATGCTGAATAGATAACTTTCATCATATCTTAGATTTCTTCCTTTTTCAACAATCAAGGAATTGTGTTCAGTTCAATTGTATGAGGATCAATCAGCCAAGACTGCACTCTCTTTCTTCACTCCAACTCTCTATATCCCTGAGATTTTTTTTCCCTTCAAACTTGGAGTTGTAACCATCTTTTTTCACCAATTTGTTATGTGAAACTTAAACGCCTTCTATAGTCACACGGGCGAGAATTTCAAGATTATTTGCCTCACTCCTACCCTCTTCCTCTATAAATCTTTTTGAAGTTATTTCCACTCTTTATCTTCTCTCTCAAACCTTTCAAAAAGGTGACCACGTTGTTACAAGTGTAATCTGAAGTCACCTGCTCCTTATGAAAAGCATCAAGGGAGAGCACCAAACTTCTCAAATAGCCCACTCAAAACCTTAAATGACTATGAAAGATTGGGCATCAATATGCAACCTTGAGGATGAATGCTTGTGCTTGAGTTTATAAATGCTACAAAATGTAAGGTCAAATTATTATTCCTCTTTGAGTGATCAGGTATTGAATAATACCTAAGCAATTAGTCCAAGTCATCCGATAAGGGGTATGAATTCTCAGCGGAGGAAAACATGGCCCAAAAATACGAAGTATAACATATAATGATATGTGTTATATGAAAAATAGCGATCCTATTCAAGTATCTCAACATCAAGTACAATCGCCGATTTGCTGAACAGTGTTTCATTAGAAAATTCGTTAGAATTGAAAAATGTGAACATGAATATTGAAAGCGTTTCCTCGTGTCAAAAGCTGTGTGCGTTGAGTTACGTCCTCGTGACTTCTCTGATGAACGGCCGTATTTTGAAGCAGATACGGCCGTTCATCATGTAAACACGTGATCAAGCCGTTGGTGATACTACTGGTCTAGCCCTAGAGTCCAATTAGTTTCTTCTTTGCAAAGTTTAATTATTCATCCTGGCATGGCACAGTCTGAACAGCTGGCTAGCTTTGTGATAGCACTAGTAGTGAAAGTTATTTAAGAAATCTATGTTAGAGACTGAACTCATCCCATTTAGCTTGAAGCTGCTGGACTTCTTGAGAGGTGATACGGCTGATGATAAACGTAGTTTCTTAGAAAATAAGAATATGACTTATTCTCATATTAGTAAGATCATATATAGATGATCATAAGGTGTTTTTGTTGAAACAATTTGACTTGATTAAGATCAAAAGGAATAGTAATTTTAAATTTCAACCTCTATAAATTTCTTATTCTCTAAGTTATAGGTCCACTCATGCAAATTCATGCTTGACGGTTGCTGCAAGTTGATTTTTGCCCTCAACTTTATTTCTATCTTGAAACCGAGGAATGATAGTTAGTATTATTTATATATATACTATAATGAAATTTTTTGTACTCTTCACAAGGTGTATATTCAAATGTGTAGTGTAATAACCCACCAAAGGCTAAAACTGCAGTATAGCAGCAAAAATGTCAAACCCACAAGGACAGAGGCAACACACGGAGTACTAAATGTCACATTTTAATAGACTATTGAGGAGTTTGAATTCTCAGGCTACTGTCACTCCCAGAATTACTACAAGTGCTCAACTCGGAGGTCATTTGGAGGACGCACAGTGAAGCGTAGCTCATCTCAACACACACCTGAAACTGGAAAAGCACAACTCAGAGGTCGATTATGACCTCTACTTAAGATTCAGGGGGAAAGTTTCTCAGGAGTACACTCAAGGGATCTGCAGGTAGTGACCCCCAACTCCGAATTTACAACTCTTCCACTAGTTATTGCTAGTGCAGGGCATCCGAGTTGGACTTCCTACTTCGGATGCGGTACCTTCGTCAAACCGAAATCACTCTCACCTGGTGAACAACACACTCAACTCACAAAACGCGCAGAGAATACAAGAATTCGAACTGAGAAACTCAATTGAGAAAAGACCCAGTGTCACCACTTAAAAGTCTATTAACGAGTTTGAATTCTCAAGCACTAGTCATTCCCAGAAATATTGCGGAGGCTACCCCCGAAGACGCCTGAAGCAGTAACACACAACCTGAATTTACAACCAAGGCTTACTCGAAGTAACAAAACTTTACTTTGGCATTCAGGGAGAAAAATACCGAAGGAGTTCAAACGGGGAAAATTGTCTGAAGGTGTAAGTCCGAATTTCAGATCCTGACTAGACTATCTGCTAGCTCAGAACATTCGAAGGAAGGCCTTCAGCTACAAAATGCGGTAACTTCGACAAGCTATAGCTCCTCTTGCGCGGTAACAGATATATGGTTTATTCCAAAAAAAAAATTTGTTTTTCAAAAGTAGGCAAAACTTTTTTTAAATAGTTCTCATTTCATTATTTTGTAAAATATAAAAGAATAAACACATAGTACAATCTTTTAAACAAAAAAAAATATATTTTTGAATTGATTGTTCTCCTGACTTAATAAAATTTTATATTAATTAGCATGCTGGTTATTTCTAGACACATTTAAAAAAGTGTTTAGAATTCATTTTTGGTAAAAAACCTAAAAAAGTAATAGGAATTTTTCTCATATATTGACTGTTTAAAAATCTTTTAAAAATTTTCTAAATAAATAAAGAGAATATTTCAAAAATTTGAAACAGAAGCTGGTTCTTCTTTTACCTATGATTTAAGCAATTTAGCTTTATCCATTAACTTTAATTGACTTATTCTATAAAATTTTATTTAATTAAAAAAATAATAAACGACATGCTATTTTTTCTGTAAAGTTTCCTTTTAAGATTAGTTGTAGTTTTACAAACCTTGTCAACGGTATGGATGAATTTTTGATTTCATTTAAATGTGTAAAAATCCAAGTCGCACTTAAAAGCCGAGTACTCTACTATTGAGTTAGCAACCCTAAAATGAATTTTGAATTTGAAAAAGGATCAAAAAATAAAAATCATCAACACAATTATATGTATGTGGATTAGTATTGTCAATTTTATTTTAATTAGATTCAAGCTAAAAACTTTACTTTATTTTTTGATCCATTTTTTTAAAAATGGAAAAATATTTGAAAAATTTACATTATTTATTTTTGGAAGAAAAAAAACTAAATAAATATATAAAAAAATTATAAAAAATGGATAATAAAAAAACAATTGTACAAAAAAAAATGAATTCATTAAAATCTCCTTAAGTTTGGTAATAAATTGAAAGTAAAAAAAGCTTGCAAATAGAAAAGAATTATTTAGTAAAACTGAAACTTAAAAAAATTTATGCACTTAAATCTTCTTTAGCTGCATACATAACCTCAACAATAATTTTTTTAATATTATTTTGTCGTGCAAATTTTTCAGTATTTCGTTTTATTTTTCCTCTTACAAAACCTGGTATTTTATTTAACTCTAACTGACTTTCAGAATTCCAAGTTAAATCTGTATCTGTAGATAAAGATTTAGTAATAACTTCTTTAGTATCATGTCCACCAAAAATTTCTAAAAGATGGTCTTCCATTCCTAAACTAAATGAATTATAAACTAAATCTGCTATTTGATTAGTACCTTCATAGCCTAAAAAAGGTCTATAACCTAAAGGAAAGTTTTGAATATGAACTGGTGAGGAAATTACTCCACGGTTCTTGCTCGGACGCGAAGCACCTGTCCGCCGCCGGCACATTTGTCGGTGCCACGTGTTGTTTCTCCTAACCCGAAGGCCGTCTTGCTTCCGCCGAAAGCGTCCATGCCTTCGGCGCAAGGAGGTCAGCTGACCTCTCTGCGGTCCGCGCGCTCCTATCCTCCTCCAAGGATGGTGAATTCTTTCCCTCTACAGCAAGCCCCGTCTCCGCGCTGCTTGCAGGCAACACGAGCCTGCGTGCCTTTTGCTTAGGCCGATTGCAGAGCTCTTGCAGTGGCCGCTTCCGTTTGAGAGCAGCAGCATTGCGTTGCTGGCCCTTCTCTGCTACTCCTTCCCATCTTCGCTTCCGCGGCACTCGTGCTGCGAACGATTCTCCTTCAACCCTCGGTTGGGTTGGTGGCGTGCAGGCAGGAGTCTCGTCTTTGTCGGTGTCGACCTCGACGTCCTTCACATACCGCCCCGGATTGCTACGTGACAACAATGAAAATTGCACCCGCTCGGTCGCGGTCAGACAATCCATCGACCGATAGAAATTGAT